CGGGTTGAAAACCCCGCCGAGATTGTCGGCGGGTTTCTAGCCTGTTCGTTCGACAACTGCGAAACGGGCCGGTGTTCGCACGCGCACACTGCCCTTCAGCATTGGGGTCATCAGAAGCCCGCCCCTTAGCGGGGCGGGCTTTTGATGATCGCAAGTACGATCTGCCTGCCCAAGATGGGCAGATCGTACGAGCTTTTAATAAGCTTAAGACCATCGCAAGACAAAAGTCTTGCAATGGTCGTAAGGTGTATGGGCACCTTTAGGGCTGGTTCACAACCAAGTGTTGTGCTAAAGTCTTGTTCACAGAGGTAGCAGGGTGGCAGTAAAACCAGGTGCTGGATCACAGTACGGTAATGTCAGCACGGTGGCTGAACAGCACTGTATACATTGACATGGGCACAATGCTTTGCGTCGGAGCAGAAGAAATATACAGCATGTCACATTTGGTAGGCAGAGCCGCTTTACAAACAAAACCATTGCAATGAATGGGACCGCACCATGGCTGTAGCGCAGTATTGCAAGAGAAAAGCCCCACTGGGATTAAAAGCACTAAAGAACCACAGATAAACAACTGCACTTCGGAGGCACCAGTATTGCCTCTTTTTTTTTTGCCTCCTGAACGCCTTGTAGCTGCTTCTTCGCCACCACTGCTTTCCAGAGGGTGGTGGAGGCTGCCACTCATGTGAATTCCTAAAGCCTAAACACACAATACTGCTCATTGGCATAGGAGGCGAGTTAGGGTGCCATTCAACATGACCACACAAACACATGGGATTATATGCAAAGGGGTCAATTTATAAACAGAGTGAACGTCCCTGCGAATCTCTGTGAATGTTCACTCTGTGCGAATATGCCAAGTCAAATATTCTTTAGTCCCCCCCCCTTTACAAGTGTAATTCATTTTCAAATGTTTTCATGCAATATTGCATTACGGTCACTAGAGGGAGCTAAAAGGGAGGAGCACAGGAAATAAGTATCTATTTTTTCATTGTTCATCTGAGCCATCTAGTGGCCACAATGTGGCATTACATGAAGAAAAAAAATTCCAAAATACATTCCACTGTCCAGAAACAACTAAAGAACCTTCGTTTGGCATATTTGCCCAGGACAGACATTCAGACATATTCACAGAGCAAACAGCCCTGTGAAGAGTTTATAAATAGACCCCAAAGTTATTTTGAAAACATGCATACAGTTGCAATTCTCCTTTTATTGAACTTAAGGCAAATATAGGAAAATGTACAAAGAGAATTATGGAGGAAACCCATACAGACCTCCTTTCAAAAAGGTTGCGTGGCTATCTCTGGATTCAATACTTGGAGTCAGAGACCTGTACCAAGTATATAGATTAGGAGTTCAGACTTCACTTGATGTATACTTCTTCTAGATTATTACTAAAGCCATAAACAATTAGCATTGTTAATTAGTCAGCAATGGCAGCCTTCACATTTCTGCCATGACAAGTGTACTTTAAGGCCTCATTCACATGGACGTGCACAACTGTACAGCGTGCAAGTCCATGTAGAAACCTGCACCTTGGAGGGGCGGCTGGTCCATGGAGCCGCGTGTTCAACTCAATAAGACATGGCTACATGCCGACCTGAACATGCACATCCGTACAGGTATGGCTACTCGCCCCCGAGACACAGGCGGTTTGCGTGCATCTGTATCGGCCGTGTCCTGTCACAGAGTTGAAAGGGCAGCTACACAAACCAGGTGTCCCACACGGGTACAGGTTTATTCACGCACATGTACTGTATGCTTTAGGCAGTGCACATCTGTGTAAATAAGAGTAAAAATAAAAACACTTTTTTTTTTTTTTAATAAGAGCATAGGAATCAAAAATACATTTTTCTTGCACTATTTGGACACATTATTTTACAAAAAGGAAAAAAAGTACCTTCAGTTGTTGGTGTCATAGTCAGCCGCTGGAAATGCTTAAATTCATTTCTGAAATAAATGAAAAACATTTGTAAGATTAAAAAAAAAAAAAACAATGAAAAGATCAAGCAATCAAATTCTGAAAAGCTAGATATAAAATATAATATGTAATTGGGCTCCACTGCAATACCAACATAGGGCCCCTACAATTCCATATACTAGAAGTAGAAATGGCACCACAAAAATAATTTTCCAGCTGCCATTTCCATAATCCACTATACAGCCCAACTTCCAGCACTGGGTCCTCTTTGCTGCTGGTTCTGTTGCAGTTGCAGGGTCTGCTACATCTAATGATGTAAATGAACAACATTGAAAAGAGTGGTTAACTGATCAGATTAGCCACCGTTCAGAATATTATAGACCACATAGCTCAGTAACTGAAATAAAAGCAGGATGTGTTGCATTGTCTCCTAGGTGAAGGGGTGTCAGGTCTCTATTACTCGGATCATTGCTCACAAATGACATCCATATCAGTCCTGTGTAATACATGGCTTTGTCCCCAAACACCTATGATCCCTTGTCACTGCCATCCGGTCCAGGAAAATCTGCACCATATCCTGGACTTCCAGGTTATGGAGGAGGGTACTGAAGGCAGTGGAGTGATAGGCTCCTGTTGCCATCAGTCAAACTGTTGGGAGGAGAGTGGTGGAAGAAGCAGAGACGTGGTGTGGCGGGCGCTTTGTGTGTCCATGGATGCGCACAGCTAGGTGCATGTCCCAGTCAGGGCCGCACACACACAAGGACACAAAAGGTTTAATATCAGTTTAACAATGAAGGGGAAAACCTCTATAAAGCTGAAACACGTAGTGTCAGAAGTGGTCAATCCGTCTGCTGCAAGATGGTTATCATGTGCACCTTTGTGCCCATAATACACAAAGTTGCTCGAGGAGCACGAGCTGCATCAAACTTCTTTTCCAGCAGCTACAAAATAAACACATTGAAGTACTTTGCACTTTGATCTTCAGCAGGTAAGATAAAAAAAATAAAATGCCTCGTTCCAAGCCTTCAGAAAACGGCTGCACTCATTTTATAAATTGCGCAACATCACCGATTGCAAAGATTAGACCAAACAGGTTATGTTACCATTTTTAGTTAAGGTAAAGTACCATTTATATATACACATTCTGGGGGGAGGTAAACAGTATTGCTTTCATATCTACAGATATAGGGGCCGATGTATCAATGGAATGCTGTTCGCAAGGCATTCCTGCCATTAGATTGAACAGGGGAGCATAGGAAATTCCGATGCTTCTCAGCTCCACCTAGGGGCGGTTCAAGCAGATTTATTGCGGAACATTGATAGACTAGCCCCATAGTCTTGTCATGCAATAGCTTTCAGGCAAGCTGCATGGGATCAGGAGGGTTACATACAGGCCATAGCTGCTATCACCTGCGTTAGGTTCAGTATCCAAGAGAATGGAAGAGTCTTTGTACTGGAGGCTAGGGTGGGCCATCTACAATCATGACCTGCAGATATTATCCAGGTGACAGAAATGGCACCAACAGCCAGCTCAAGGTGGCAGAAGCAGTGACAGACCTCCCACTGTCCTCTGGGAGACTTGCTGACGTAGACCCTTCTTTAAACTGCAATCCAAAATGGTGAGGGGGTGTAGGTACATTTTGAGCCGCTTTAAACAAATGCTGCAGAACATTCTCAGTAGAATATAACTAAGCTTCACCCTCAGTCTACGCAGAGATGTTATGTTCCGTGTGACAGCGATTCTCATTACAGACCAATTTAAGTCCCATACGTTTTCACCTCCTTAAAGTGCTGTACCCCCACATTAAGGATTTGTGACTTTTACTTAGTGATATTAAAATCAAAAGGTTTCTAAGCTATTTCAAATGCTGATGAAATCACTTACAATGGGTGCTGCTCCTTGAAGTTTTACTGTTCTGCAGAATCAGCTGATCCCCTGAGCCCTGATATCCCGTTTTAGGGTGGTGTTGCAGGGTCCTATGGAGCCACCCTTGTGTGTGCTAGTAAGCGGTGTGCGTCTCCACAAACACAGCAAGGCAAGCCACTCCCATCCCCTTCAAAATGGTAGTAGAAGGATGACTGCTGGAGACTGTGCAAGAAGTTCAGGGAAGCCAAGCTGAGGAAGCTGGAGCCAGTTGTTCGGGAACATGATGACTGTAAGCACTTGGGTAACAATGTGAAGAAATACATTGCTGGGCAATATGTATTTGTTTGATCTGGATTCATTATTGAAAACAAGTTTGAGAGTTAAATACTACAATAAAAACAGGTCTTAAATATCTTCTCTGCTCCCAAATCAGTGCTCTGCGCTGGCAGAGCTGAGTAACAGCCACACCCCTTTACAGACAGAGGAAGAGAGGGGTGTGTATTACCCGGTCTGTTACTGACAGACCCCGCGTACCACTGATGTAACAGGAAGAGTATAGATCAGTCTCTGTATGGTATAGAAACGGAATAAAATACGTCAGAGAGCGCTGAAAGACAATCACAACATGCTTAGCAAATTGGATGCACAAGCGCTCGTGTCATTGCCAATACATACACAATAATAGAATCCTACACAGAGAGGCCGCCATTGCTGGCAATGCTAGTTGCCTGGCTGTATGAGTACAGCATTGCAGAAACTTTTGAATTTGGCTTGTTCACACCACGTGCAGTGACCTTTTTTTTTTCTACACCAGATCAACAAAAGGTCAAGGCAAGGGCACATAAAATAATGGCGCCTTCTTCACACCACCACGCTGTGGAGATGTACGCAGCAGAATCATGTATGAATTTTAACACAGTGCAATGTTCAGCTTCTAAAGGGAAGAAAAAAAACCTGGTAATTTTGCACACCCCTCCGGAACATAGGACTGAAAACCTCTCAACTATGGAAGACGTTCAGGGCCAATTCACACCGCAGCTGCACTAAAATGCACAGCTACTGGTGTGCGGTGCCCAGCACAGTGCTGATCAGCTGGTCCCAGCACATCACACTGTTTACTAGAGATGCACCGAAATTCCAGGCACCAAAACTGGTACTATGGACAAAAACGAGAGGCATCCCTAGCTTCCCTCCTTTCCGCTGGGAGCCGGGTGCAAGCTTCAGTCTGTGCTCAAACCAATCCCTGCTGCTCTCCCGCCGCCTGGGTTAGCAGAGGCGGTCTGCTCACGAGAAGGAGAAAAGCTGTCAGGAGGACAAGCAAGGCAGTGTGGGAGGAGAGCTCGGCCTCCTGTGACAGGCAGAGCAGTCAGGTTGGAGAAGGGAGTACAAACACTCAGCTATCATTACTGATCACGGTTTGTAAATAACTGGGGACATAGTACGTTTACTATGTCCCCCTTTACAAATGAACATCAAGTGCTCTACATCAATTCCTGTTCATTTCTGAATGGGGCCATAGTAAAATATTTACTATGGCCCCATTCAGAAATGAACAGGAAGAGATGTAAAGCACTTCCTGTTCATTCATAAAGTGAACAGAAGGTAAATAGTTACTATCTGCTCACATTATGAATGCACAGGAAGCAGTTCAGTACACAGACTTGCTGTCTATTCATGACTGGGTTGATAGTAAATATTTACTCTCTCCAGATTGTGAATGAACAGGGAGCCTCTGTACTGTGAGCTTCCTGTTCATTCATAACAGGGGCTGCAGAAAAAGAGATTGAGGGCTTTGTGTCCTTAAGCTCTCTCTATTTTAGATATTTAATTTCGTTTGAGTCTAAAAATGTCATTTTGGTGCATCCCTGTTTACCCTTTTTTTGGCAAAAAACTTTATTAAATTGTCACAAGTGACATTTCATTGAGTTTTGTCGGCACAGCGTGATGCCAGACAGTACCCATCACATCCCACTGCGCTGACAAAAGTACTGCATTAGCTCATGGCAGCTCCCGTAGTTGCCGATCTGCCTGTACTCCCCTCCTGCACACACAATACCTTAATATGGGCCATGGCAGTGTCCCGGCCTTCCCGATGCCCTGACCCGGAGGACACACCGCCACTACAGAGTTGATTAGCAGATTCCTCATCTCTGCACAGTCACACACTGCGATCACAGCACAGAACGTATATTCTACAGCCGGTGTATGACCAATCACCGACAGGCGGAAGCTGCTGGGCGGGACACTGGGAGGAGGAGGCGGAGACATGTCTATTATGTATATGTCTATTCTCCGTAGTGGAGAAGGCCTGGCTATGCAGCGCCCATTGGACAGCCAAGTTCATAGACAATCAGTAAATCTGACACACCACGTGTTTCCGAGACTGTTCACTTCTCCCGCCATGGCCCGCCCCGCCCACAGCTGTCGGCGTCTCTAGTCGACTGACTGCCAGCCAATAGCTGCTAAGTGGTGGGGCGTGGCTAGGGCTCTCCAGCATGGCGCCCGTGTGCCGTATGATCTTGTAAGCTGCAGGATGCGGCGACAGAAAGCAGGCCGGTCCACGGCTTCAAGCCTGTCACAGCCCGTCATCAGTCATTTCTTCAAACCTCAGGCTGGTGGGGCCCCGCGATCACCGACAGTCCAACCTGCACAGGTCAGGAGGGGGGAGGACCGTGACACCAAGAGGGAGGGATCAGTCCCATCTGTCAGCACAGAGTTTGCTGAGTGTGAAGTCTTGTGTGCTGAGGATCTGATCAAAACATAATGAGCGAATGTAGCCGAGTTCCAGGTTACAAAGAACTACCCCCTATAGTCAGTCTGTCCCCCAATGTTCACCAGATTTACGTAATCTGATTATACAATCTCCTTTCATCTGACCATACACTATACAATCTGATTGTAAACTTACATCTGCCATCAACTATGCAGTGCAAGGGCCTGCCCCTGTTAGATCTAAAGAAGATTGTACAATCAGATTGTAACGTGTGTGGTGATCTTATAGGAGATTGTATGATACAGAAGTGTATTGCGTATAGTTTTGTAGTCAGCATTATAGAGCTGTAGGGCCCAGCCACCCAGCTGCAACGAGCGGGGTAACCATCTCCTGTAGGATTTCCTGCAGTCTCTGCAAGTTCTAGGTAGTATCACCTGATAGAGTCGTCTGTATTAAGGTTTTTCCATTATAAAGGTGCCCATACACTGCACGATTACAGTACGAGAATCGCGGGAAATCACGCGATCGTACAATAATCGCAAAGTGTATGGAAGGCGTGCAACCGTTTCTACTGTACGGTCGCACGTCTTCCGTCGAACCAGCAGGCTTGAAAACCCGCCGTGAATCGTATGATTCTCGGCGAGTTAGTGGCCTGCTTGTTCGACAACTGCCGAACGAGCCAGTGTGCGCACGCGCACACTGCCCATTTGCAGACATGCATGGCCACCTTAATGGTTTATCAAGGGTATGTCAGATCTTCAGCACTCCCCCTTCCCCTACTGATCACAGCTGCAATGTTTTACTGGTGCCTATGCAATAAATAAATAAATGGGGGAAATTTCCATTTCATCACTACAGGTTGTTTTTTTAAAGCAGAACTCCAGGCAAAATTGTTATAACCCTTACAGTTTGGCTACACCCGCACTTCAAGGACCAGCTGCTTGTTTTCGTCTAGGGACTAAAATAAAAAAACAAAGTCCTCCGAGCCAGCTTGTTCTTAGACCAGCCCCTGGAGCCTCCATGGACAAGGAAAATCTTGGCCAAACAATGACTGTAGCCAAACAGCTGCAGTCACTGTTTGTGTATTTTGGCAGCGGTGTACACTGTCTGTCAGAATACTATAGCCACAGCAGGTGATTCCTTCATCCATGCTGTTTCGCTTGGACGGAAGTAGCTGTTAGATTCTATTAGTGTTCGCCTTATTAGTGTATGGCTAGCAGGTACGAGGGAGGGAGTGCTTACTGATGACTGAAGTTGCTGCTACTGTTCCTAGGTGTACATTTGTCAGAACAATGAAAAGATGATTACCATAAATAGGGTCTCACTTGGTTGGAATTTTTTTTTCTGGCATAACATCAGAATGAGTGGAAGAGGGAGAGAGAAGAGACAAGCAAAAGGGAAAGAGAGATGTGGGCATAGCAAGTAATGGAACAAAAATAGAGCAAGATAGGGAGTGCAGCCCCTAGATAGCACACATGAGGGCCCGCACCCAGGGCCCCGGGGGATTTACATATCCTGAGTATGCAGTCTCACGTTTGCTGGAATAGCCAAGATCCACCCTATAGCTTCAGGAATACTCCACCAACACCGGAAAAAGGGCATTCAGCAGCCCAGGTCCATGGGGCAATACATGTGCTTACGGTTTTTTACCCTTTTAGTTTTCTAGAATCGTCACAGCAGACGATGAGGAGCCGAGCAAGAAAAGAAGGAAAAGCCATCATGAAGGTGAAGGGAATGGGGTCTGTATTTCAGAGCCTTCAGGTAAGCAAAATATATAATTTAATGTGAGCCTGTACTTACTGATTCAGGGATTCCATTTACCCCTCATGCCGAGTGGAATATTTGGTGTTTCGAGGGATGGGGGAGCATGTTATTTCTCTCTCCTTCCACCAACAATACAACATTGGCTTCCTGAGTGACCGTTTGCCAGGCCTTTCTAAGTAATTATTGGCCAAGACAGCTCACTTTACACCTTCTACTGAGATAATTATCCCATTTATGATCCGCCTCAGATGTTCAGTTGTACCATCTCAGAGTACATCAGGACACCACACTAGAACCACTTTCTGTCCAGTTGCAGCAGGGGAGCACCACCCAGTTAGATGTTGGGCGGGTTCATAGACCAGTTGTGAGATGATAAAAAGGCAGTGCCAAGTACCAGCTTTACAGACGAAGATGACATTTGTATCGGGTATGGAATTCATATTGCCCGACGCCCGGGACATGTAGTTCTGGGCACCGGGCAAGTGTTTTTTTCACTGTTTTAGCCCCGCTACGGACAAGTAGCAGGGCTGGTCTTCTTTTCTTAAATGACCGCCGCGAGCGGGGGGCGTGGAGCACCGAGAGCAGAGGGTGTGGACGGAGCACTGAAAGCGGGGGGCGTGGAGTCACCTAGGCAGGCAGCTCCTGTCACCTAGTGTCTTTGATTGCTAGGATGAAGGCAGCTCCTGTCACCTACAGGTGAAACTCGAATAATTAGAATATCGTGCAAAAGTAATTGCAGTAAGTGCTGCAAAAGGGGCCCAAACCAAGTACTGAGTACATATGCATGCTTGTACTTTTCAGAGGTCCGATATTGTTCTATGTACAATCCTTGTTTTATTGATTGCATGTAATAATCTACTTTTTTGAGGTTGTGGATTTGGGGTTCTTGGGGTTTTCATGAGCTGTAAGCCATAATCATCACAATTATGACAAATCACGGCTTGAACTATCTTGCTTTGCATGTAATGAGTCTATCTCATATATTAGTTTCACCTTTTAAGTTGCATTAGTGAAATAAATGAACTTTGCACGATATTCTAATTATTCGTGTTTCACCTGTAGTGTCTGATTGCTGGGACACAGGCAGCTCCTGTCACCTAGTGTCTTTGATTGCTGGTACACAGTCAGCTCCTGTCACCTAGTGTCTTTGATTGCTGGGACACAGTCAGCTCCTGTCACCTAGTGTCTTTATTTGCTGGGACACAGTCAGCTCATGTCACCTAGTGTCTTTGATTGCTGGGACACAGGCAGCTCCTGTCACCTAGTGTCTTTATTTGCTGGGACACAGGCTGCTCCTGTCACCTAGTGTCTTTGATTGCTGGGACACAGGCTGCTCCTTTCACCTAGTGTCTTTGATTGCTAGGATTCAGGCAGCTCCTGTCACCTAGTGTCTTTGATTTCTAGGATGCAGGCAGCTCCTGTCACCTAGTGTCTTTGATTGCTAGGATGCAGTCAGCTCCTGTCACCTAGTGTCTTTGATTGCTAGGATGCAGGCTGCTCCTGTCACCTAGTGTCTTTGATTGCTGGGACATAGGCTGCTCCTGTCACCTATTGTCTTTGATCGCTAGGATGCATCCAGCAAGACTGAACAAAAGAAAGTTATCTGTGTGTACACACTAAAATGAAGGCACCATTGTCCATACCTTTTGCATGCAGTATCCTGCAGCACGGATGGGCTACTAATGTGATAGCTAGCCTTACTAACCAATAGGAACATGCAGGAGGCAGAAGGGGCGGGACAAGCCTCAATACACTATTAAAGCAGATTTAAAAAGAAAAATACATTTAAAAAAATTCTGGTTTCTAAAGGTTTAGCTGGAACTATTTTACAGCTGGATTTGTTGTTTGCACTGTTCAGGAGATTCATTGGGATTTTATTTAACTTGATTTCTAGAAAAAAAGAAATGTGGAAAATCAGCGATGTCAGGTGAAACCTTACATAAGTTACAGCAGTTTTGCAGTGAATCTGGAACACAGAACACCGAGCATCCTCATTTGAAAGTCCCTGAGCTCCTGACTCCTTTTGTTGGTTTTAAAGATGGACCGGTAAAGCCTGAGAGCAGCATTCTTGATGGAGGCCTGCTTTCCAAGATGGGGGTAAGTCATTAGATACAGGAAAATTTGTGTAGAGAGATATGTAGATTGCTATGGCTGCCCTCCTGTAAAAAATGGTAGCTGCTTGGCTGTCCCACTTTCTTCAATACATTAAATCACAGACCCAGATAAAAGTATGCTCATGCAGCGTTCTAGCTTGCTGCATACTTGTTACATACCAATGAGGATTAACCCTTTTGAGACCCCTGACATTTCCCTTTTGAAATAAGAGGACACAGTCATCTATCTCTTTTTCTGCACCCTCTGTTCTGAGTGAATGGAAAGCTCTCAGTGCAGAGGCTTCCCATTCATTCACAAACTGGAGATTTACTATCAACAGTTATGAGTGGGTAGAAGCCTTCTCAGTGAGATGCTTCTACCCATTCAGAAACTCATGAATAACCAGGAAGTGATGTAAAGCACTGCCTGTTCATAACTGGGGACCCATAGTACTATGTGTCTTCAGTTGTTTATAAGCTTTGGAGCGATCAGTGATCACTCCACTGTTTGTTCTGCACAGGAAGGATCAGTAAATATCACACACATTTACCGATCCTCCCCTCGGCCACGCACAGAGCTGCTGTCATCCTGAAACTGACAGGATGACAGCGGGTGCGCTCTCCTCCCCGCTCGGCTATCCTGATGACAGCTGCGGCTCCTCTCTCCTCACGCTCGGCCATCTTGACAGCAGGTAGTGCTTCCTCCCCCGCCCTCCATCCCCTGCTGGCCTCAGTGGCCTTTTTCTCCTCTGATCCCCGCTACCTCAGCCTATACAGGTGGGGAGAGCAGTGGGGATCGGAGGAGAAACGGGGGGCAGGAGAAGCTCTCGGATGCTGGCGGTGGGGGCGCCTGGAATTTTTTTCCAGCCGCTGATGACCGCTATAAATTTACAGGAGATTGAAGCAATGTTTTAAGTGCTTATTGCAGAAGGGTGAAAGCCACCGACGTAAGGTTTACTGACATGGCCAGCTGCAAGCAGTTGTGTTCCGCCATAAGCCTTATGTCGGTGGCAGCGAAAGGGTTAAAGCCATTTAAGTGCACTTTTAACTTTTCTTCCCACCGAGCCCCTCTTGATCACAATTAACATATTATTATTTTTTTTAAATGATGCGTTTATTAACATATAGTCAAACAGACATTTGAATACAGATCAGTGGCAGAGCATTACAGCATAAACATTACTGCACCTACAGTCTATTAGAGCCATACAAACACTTGGTAAGAGAGAAGAGTACAATTCTGGGTCATAGTATCAGATGAATATGCGAACTACATTAAACAGCGATTGGGAAGCATAGATAACACCAGATCCATATCCCATGTCCCCCGAAGGACAAGGACCGTCAGTGAAAAAAATGTTCTGCCCCGGGCGCCCATAACTCTGGTTACGCCACTGCATAGTTCTCCTTTAAGCTGGCCATACACTTACAGTTTTTTCTAGTTTAACCCACAACAGCGTGGATGGGGGAATAACCTTACTGGGCTATTTTATTCTGACAGCGGCGGGGGTGTGCCGCTCTCAGAATACCCGAACAGTGACTACAGTTTACTGGCCACAGTCACTGTTAGGCCAAAAATGTTTAGCCTGGCTCCTTCAACAAAAGTTGATTTAAATCGATTGTAATGTTTGAGAGTAGTCAACTCCTGGCAGACAAAGTTGTGCCAACAGTGCCACACACTGCACGAATTTCAAGCAGTGTTTCGCCAGCTATACTCACTCTGACACTGTTTCGTAGACCACAGTTTCATCCTTTTTCTCCAATTTTTTTTTTTGTCTATGCTCATCTAGCGGATGGAATAGTGTCTGTGCTGCAAACGGCATGTATATTTGCAGTGTGCAGGACTGATTTTTGGAGTAAAGAGGAGAAAAGGTCATAACCATGGGCTGAAAAGCACCGGGCAAGCTGGGCACTAGCCATCTTATCTCTGAAACTAGCCAGCAATAGAATCACTAAGAAGAGTGCTCATCTGTTCCAGCAAAGTTGCTTCCTCTTTGGTTGGCTTGGGGCTAGTGACAGAGCAAGATCTCGCTGGTTTAGCATGCCTCTAATACAGACCAGTGCTCCTGAGTTATACAGAGCACCACATGTGCAGGCTGATGTGCACAAGTCCTGATAAGTGATAGTTCTGTTGAGGGAAGATTTTACCTCACTTCTTCTTCTTCCCCTGTGACACCATGACCAGAAACGATGAAGCAATTGTAACTGACACAGGTAGACACCAGTGGTGATAGTACACTGATGGAAGTTCTTTCGCTTTCCGTATGTCCCATTAAAAAAACAAGCTAAATCCATTCCCCACTCTCTCCAAAGCTATGAAAACGTTCTGACATGGGTTGGGCAGCCCATTGTGAAAGCTATTGGGGATGTTTGGATTTTTAGACATTTATATGGGGTCTGTAAATAATTTGCAAAACGTGTATCCTCAGCTCCATCGAGTGGCCATAATGTATTATTACACCAGAATACGTTCTACCTGAAAAATAGATTTTTGCCGTTACTAGCACAAACAAACATTCACAGATATTTGAAGGGTGAAGGGCCCTGTGAATTGTGTATAAATAAACCCCTACATACTGTGACACGCTAATTTAGTTGTTACTTGTAATTCTCACTAACGCCAGCCATCTAAGGTGTCCCTAATTCTGAATGCTAAAGAATGTCGGTGTTCTATATTTATAATGCTGTTGGTTTTTATTCTGTCCAGACAGAAAAACAGAAGTCAAATACGTTTCCTTCTCTCAAACTGCATGAAGCTCATTCTTCTGAAACGAAAACTCCCAGCCGCAGAACCAAATCTGTGTACACACCTCTGGAGGAGCAGTACATGGCCATTAAAAAGCAGTACCCAGATGCAATCCTGTGTGTAGAATGTGGATACAAATACAGGTTTTTTGGCGAGGATGCAAAGGTCAGTGACTGAACCAAGTGCAGCTTTACCTTTCTGGCCCTTTGGGCTCAAATCACAAAGGATAGGAATTATTATTTTCAGCCATGTGACTGTATTTCCTAATATTACTTAGCCGAAAATAGCCGTCACCTTTTTGAAAATATGGAACCTTATCCCAGTGTTAAGCTACCTCATAGTCTATAATGTTGCACACTAGAAAAATAAGTCACTTGTACATATTATTTTGCTTCTTGCTGCCTATAAAACCTCTGAGGTGTCCAGTATTGGGTATTGGCTGAATGATGGGTACATTTTCAGATTGAAAGAGAAACGGAATACCCCACAGCTGCTCTTTCCCTCATTACTGACTTTCCATGCCTTGTTGGAGGTGGCCATCTTGGAAGAAGCAGAGCTTTGCTTCCTCAGGTCTGAGCTTCCAGAAAGATGAACATTGAACAGTAATTACATTTCTCCCATGACAGGGGCAGCAGTGTCTTAGATCTCTCACTGCAGATAAACAGCATAGCTTTAAGGCTGTATCTATAGGAGTGTATAGGCATCCTCACATAGCAGGTAATTCTTATGCTCTTTGGTTCCATCTAGTGGCCATAATGTGCTGTAACTCTTGTGTGCAAAGACATTTGCCCTGTGAGCATTTTATTAACAAACCCCTTAGTGTGAGTTTTATAGACAGAATACAGTTCATATATTGAAAATCAGGCTGCCTCTCAATTATCAAAGAATGTTTTTATGTATTTGCAACCCTTGTGTCTTTACTCCTGGATTGTAGTGACTGACTGTGACAGTTTTTTGCATATGTCTGTGACACATTTACTAGGGATGCACTGATACTAGTATCGGTGCCGATACAGAGTGTGACGGACTCCCTGATACCCCGACTGGATATCTCTGTCTTCAGCCTATTCCCTGAGTGCTGGAACTAGAAGCGGTGACTATGGCATGGAAGGCTTACTCCAAGAATCAGACAAGACTGACTTTGGAGTGAAACAAGAACAGCTTTATTGAGGCAGAGCACACAGAATTTATATCTGACAGGAATAGATAAGCATTCATTGTTACATGGAAGAGTTTCCTCCCCCAGACAGCCGGGTGCCGCATTGTATTGTCTTACTTAGAGAGGAGCTTAATCTCATCACTGTAACAATGGCCCCTCCAGCCAACCTGCTGCCTTTAGAACAATGGTTCCCATCAAGTCACATGGTGACCGGCTCTCCCCAGATAACATAGTAAACTGTAAAATACCCGCAGCACACAAAGTTCTCCGGGGAAATGAATCTGCAGGCCTAGGTCCGTCACACAGAGTATTTGGGCGAGTACTCGAATTTGCCCATATGCACCGATAACTTCACTTATACCAGAACTTCCATTTAGAGGAACATTTCCTCTGACGGGCAATGGCATAGGGGAACATGGAGCCGGCTTCCTGGGCAATCAGGAAGCTAGGTGGCGAGTAATGACCCGCCTCCCGGGTTCCTGTTTGGGTGGGAAGCTGGCTCCATGCTGATTGGCTGGGAAGCCGGTTTCTCGGCCAATCACAATCGAGCCAGCCAAACAACATGGAGCCGGCTTCCTGGGCAATCAGGAAGCTAGGTGGCGAGTAATGACCCGCCTCCCGGGTTCCTGTTTGGGTGGGAAGCTGGCTCCATGCTGATTGGCTGGGAAGCCGGTTTCTCGGCCAATCACAATCGAGCCAGCCAAACAACATGGAGCCGGCTTCCTGGGCAATCAGGAAGCTGGGTGGCATGTCATTATCCTCTGCCCGCCTTCCTGTGAAAACACTGTCATTTCAGATCACCTAACAGTTTCCTAATCAAATGTGATCAATATGCCTATTCAGCATTGTTATTCATTATTCTAAAGCTGGCCATACACCTTACAATTATCTGCAGATTTTCTGTGGTCAGATGGAAAAGCTGCAACAGATTCCTCCATCTACACTTGTGTGGATGGAGTAATCTCCACCTGGGCCAATCTGTTGCACTTTTTCCATCTGACCACAGAAAATCTGCAGATAATTGTAAGGTGTATGGGCACCTTTAGTCATTGGTGCAAAAGGCTTTGTAAGGTGAATTGTGCACAGGTGCGGTATCCTCTGAAATGTTTACATATTCAGTACATGCCAGCTGGTGTACCTGGTTGCGACTTGTGTTCCTGACAGATCTATATAGTGCAGGATAATTTGGACTTGCTTACAATGCATAAAAACACATGTATATCAAAAAGCAACCTCATACCTGTAAATAAATCAGCAATACAATGTTTGGCCACATTTCATCTCCACTTAGATAACTCTGTTTTTTTCAGCCTCAAAGCGGCATTTTATTGATTCTCGTCCATATCTAACCACACACCTTACCAATAAGCCCTGAAGAAGTGGGAGGCCCTTCCTTTGAAACCCGGCTGTATTTTATACAATACATTTTTCAGATCACCTTCAAAGTATTTAAGTAGTTCTACCAGGTGCTCCAAAATTTACTCATGAATGGAATACCTGTTGAGCAGTCTGTTGACCGAGATTGGAGAGGCAGCAGGCTAAGAACCATAACTGGGTCACCACTTTACCATGCCTTTGTTGTAGATCAACCTCCCCAGAGGAGAAATAACTTTCTGGATTTACACAAAACAAACTCCAAGCTATATTGGCCCAGTTCTACCGTACACCAACCAAACTTTTGCAGTTAACACACAAATGATGTACAGCTGATCTTAGAAGCAGCGGAGATGATATCGTATGGCAGGGCTCAAAATTTCAAGTCCTAAGCTACTAGCCAGGCCTGAAAAGTTACTCGCCACCAGTTGCCCCACCTAACCCCTACCCTGCCTCGGCCTTAACTCCGCCAGGTCAGCGGTGTGACGCAGAGTATAAAGATCAGTAACAATGCACAGTACAGAAGTCAGTGGTGCAATACAGAATACAGAGGCCAGCTGTGCGACGCGCAGTGCAGAGGCCAGCAATGTGATGCGCAGTGCAGAGGTCAGCATTGTGACGCGCAGTACAGAGGTCAGCAATTTTATATAATAGGAAACATCCCACCAATGGCAGCTGAGGTGGGCGGAGGAAACTGCTGTGGCCACCGAGGAGCCCAATTGAATAGGGCACAGACGATGGCAGTGGAGCTTCTTGTTCTCTTCTCCCCGCCACCGCAGTCTTAAAGAGGCCCCCCTCCCAGTCCACATCCACCGGACGTTATTAATCCGAGTTGCCCCACTCAGTATGCCCCTCTCTTGGGGTCATATTAAGTGGGGCACTAAGATCCACTCCCCCCACCCGCAATTTTCACTCGCCAATTGCGAGGGGGCGAGTGGAAATTTTGAGGCCTGCCGTATGGGAATGATCCTTCCAATGGCCAGCTGGAGGACACTTACTCAGTCAACCCAGACCTGTGTTCACACACATAGGGGCACGTTTAGTAATTCTGTTACACAGCAAGACATTGCTAACCAGGAACAGTGAGACACATTATGCCAAGGTAATATTCCTTCCTCAGCTGCTCTTAAGTAGCGCTGCAATGGAATGAGACCTGACCCTGACCACTTCTTATTTGTACAGTTGTGTAGAGTGAAATTCTTCTATACAGTCATAAGTCTGTTGCAGACCTGTGCTGATTTGCTGCAGTTGGATGCCCAGGATTACAGGGGCAGTGGCCACCAATACACAGGAAAACTCACATAGATGGGTACTCCGGTCTCCTCCCACACTCCAAAGACATGCTGGAAGGTTAATTGGCTTCTGTCTAAATTGGCCCTTGTATGTATGAATGTGAGATAGGGACCTTAGATTATAAGCTCCTTGAGGGCAGGAACTGATGTGAATGTGCATTATGTAATGCGCTGCGTAAATTGTCAGCGCTATAAAAATTAAATAGACTTTGCTATGTGAGGCAGCCTGGCTTGAATCTAATAGCGTTGCTAATTAATCCCCCATAGTGTTGTGGATGTACAATGGGGGACATTTATCAAGTCTGTTGCATGGCAGAACAATCCTAAACAGAAGCAGTGAGACAGATTGTCTGACAGATTTACTCCAAGGTTACAGCCAGTCGTAAATTCCATCCTCCGCTGCTTTAAAGTAGCACTGTGACAGAATAAAACCTGACCCTGATTACTTCTTAATTATGCGTATGTATAGAGTGAAAATCTGTTACATCTTCAGTATTACAAATTTGTCTGAGAACTTTGCAAACTGTCACACTTGGTTAACCAGGAATACAGATACATGGGGCTGTAAACCTGCAGCAGAGACAGCTGAACAGCCATATTTGATTATAGTACAGTGCAGATTGCTCTAATTGATCTGCATACATCAATTACTCTGGGTGATCTTCCCTTAGGGTGCAGCTACAGGCATCTCCATACTTGCTCTTTTTGCTTGTACATAACTAAGGGCTGGACAAATGCCAGGTAGCCAGTGCCCCTTTAAAATGTCAACTGGCTCCTATCTTTTGTGGTTTTCAGAAAAGCTGGCTCCTCAAATAATCCTGCTGTCACCAGGACTGGATAGACTGGCTTCTGAATTCCATATTAGTTTGTCCACTCCTGACTTAACAGCTCTATCAGGGACAATTCTCAAAAAGCACTCATGTACATTAACTCTAAAATATGCTAGCTTTTATGCTGATTCTTGCCATTTATTCCCTTTGCAGATTGCAGCACGTGAGCTGAACATATACTGTCACCTTGACCACAATTTTATGACTGCGAGTATTCCCACTCACAGACTATTTGTCCATGTTAGGCGACTTGTTGCAAAAGGATATAAAGTAAGTATAGGTCTATTTTTGTCTTCTGTGAAAGTTCACTATTTGTACGTTCTCTATCCTAGTATCTGTCTTTAGTCTCCTTATGCAGTTCCCCAATTCCAGCCAAAACAACCGTGGGGTTAAAGACCGTGGTAAATATTTGACAGATGGTCTCACTCTTCCCTACTCTATCCATAAAAATAATTTATGTAAACTGACCACATAATAATACAACAGTAGTACAGTGTTAGAGACCCAGAAACCCTTTCTGGGAAAGTGGCCCTGCTGACATTTTAAAGTTGGGCAGTGAATGTGACATTCACCATACAGTAACAGGTGGTTAACCCCTTCGTGAACGGGAGACATACACTGTACGTCCCGCCACAAAGGGACCAAATGACTTGTCACGTACAAGTTATTTGCTGCACTTGAAGGCTGGTAACCGCTGAGAATCAGCAGTTACCATTCATTAATGTATCCCTCAGTTTCGAGGCATCCATTAATGAAAGGGTTAACCTTTTTCAGACACCCGATACCATAGTATCGGGTGTCTGAGAGTCAAAGCAGAGCGGGCACACATGCCGGCTTTTGCCAGCATTTGGACAGCTCGTATAGATCGAGAGATATCTCTCTCAAGCTATACTGGCTTTTTTTTCTTTTTTTCTTTCACTTTCAGGAATAGATACATAATGTGTCTATTCCTATAATGTATCTATTCCTGAAAGAAGAATGTTTCAGTTTTCTGATGGTTGTTGGAACAATCAGAAAACTAGCTGAATCCTGAACTGCTGCAGGATCAGTGTCACTAACTTATTAACGGCTGTTCTGAAGTTTGAAGCAGCCTGATAATAACCAAAAATGTATTAATTTATCAATCAGTAATAGTGAGATTAATTCACAATGACTGCTTGATATAATTAAATAAATAAAATAAACATTTTAGGTTTTAAAAAAATTGTGAAAAGTGTAAAAAATAAAATAAAATAAGGGACAAATAAATGAATGTATTTATTGATTTTTTTTTTAGCTGTGCTGGTTTTGTAAAAAAATACTACAAATCAGAACTGGGAAAAAAGTGTTTTTTTTAAATTTTTTTCCTCTTTTTTTATATTTTATTTGTCCTAAGTGAGGCGTTAGACACACATATGTGATATAAATATGTAGCCCTATCTGTCCTCTAAAAAACAATATATAATATGTGTGGGTGCACTTTGTAAGAAAGTATATTACTGACGTGGAAGAATCACACAGCAAAAATTTCAAAAGTGTGCCAGTCATTTACGAACAAACTAAAAACAAGCTCAGTCATGAAGGGGTTAATAATGTCCTGTAGCTTAAAACAAATGCATCAGGAAGATTCAGTTGTTTTGAAGGTTTAGTGAATGTGACGTTCACTGCTTTATTAATCTGCCCCTATTAATGGTATCTATGTGCTCCTAACATAGATGTTCTTCTGTATATGTACATGAAGTCATTTATATTTGCTCACTGGTTGAGCCTTGTTTATTTCACTGTACGTCCATCAGACATAAGCAGTCTCATTGAAATAGAACACTTTTGCTTCTCCAAACAAGGCAAGAGAAAGATGGCCTGGTACGTGGTTATTATTGCTGCTATTAGGTACGACTTTATGCGCAAGTTTAATCAAATCTGGAATTCCTGGGCAGCCAATTATATGTCTCTGGAGGTCGAGCAACTGCTGTGATTACTTTTCTATTGGCCACAGTCAAGATGTAGTGGTCTGTGCACCCCGGGTTCTCTCTTCCCCTTTATCTCCCGGTTCTGCCTGCCCCTTTGGGCCCTCTGTTCTTGCCTCTGGGCCTTCCTTCTGTACTCTCTATTCTGCTTTCTCTTCTCTAGGCTCTGTTTAATTTGGCTTCTTTTTAATTTTTTATTCTCCTGTTGGGGGACTTTATATTTTTCTTTGGTTAGGTCTTCTGTATGTCACCTTCACCAGGGTCATAGCCTGGCCTGGCTTTGTTTCTTCGGTCCAAAAGTGTGACTTGTATATAGAAAAGTCCTTTCGGGGACAATCTAGTGGCTCTACTCAATGTGCTCTATGCAGTCTTATATGATTTGAAGTACCTGAAATGTATCGGTTTTATCTTGTCCTGTTTGGTTTCTTTCTTATCTATGCATTTCTTTAATAAGTATTATTATTATTTCTATATATATCATTAATAAGTATCATTGCAATTAAAGCCAAATACTTTCTGCAGTCTATAATATGAAGCACTCCCAATGGTCCTGGTAACCAGAGACTCTGAGGTCTTTGTCTAGGTTTTAGGTCACAATACAGAGCTAAAGAATTAAGTTCTTTATCCCGAGGAGGAAGTACTTGTCAACACAAAATAATAAGTTGATTTGCAAATGGTGGCGTGTACACAGTTGGTGTACGTCACATGTAAATATGAATGTTTATGTAACTGCATCCATTCATATGTTCTGTGTCTCCTTATAACAACATTTTGTAATTCTGCAATGTTCCACTATGTGGAGCTTCAGTCCTATCAAGTTGTAATTCTGTTCCCTTTGCAGGTTGGGGTCGTTAAACAAACAGAAACCGCAGCGCTGAAAGCAGCAGGTGAAAACAAGAATTCTCTGTTTACCAGACGACTTTCTGCCCTCTATACAAAGTCAACGCTCATTGGGGAAGATATCCTTTTATAGAGTGCTTACAGCTCATCATTTAAAGTGATACTAAACTCAGGAGTTAAACCTTAAAAATACATTCAGGTACCTTAACTATTAACAAAAAATTATCTTATTTGTGCACCACTCAGCTGTAGATCCTCAAATCATCTCTGAATTGGTGCCGACACTGTCCTTCTTTCTGGAGGGTGGCTACTTTTGTTCCCCATGTTCCCTGTGTGTTGCCAAGTAGTCACCACTCCGAGCTCGCTCCCGTGATGGACTACAAGCTCACATTTATTTTACTAATTTGTATTTAGATTGTGGTGTAGGGGTTAAAGAGGCAATGGCACTTTGCCAATTCAGGCCAGGATGACAGCGTCCTTTGACAGCACACCCCTTACAGCAAGTTATACTATCCGATCTGCTCTACGTCGGTACTCTGGCTCCCTTTCTATGCTAATAAAAAAAACATTTAAAAACCAGGTATTATCTGTTAAGGATGTTAGTAAATAACTGGAATAAAGGTAAATGTTTTTTTTTTTTTTTTTTTTAGAGTTTAACGTTACTCGGAGCTTCTGGAAGATATGAAAGGAACACGTTAATGCAGCTATGTATTCATGAATACAATGTGAAATGTAGTTCATTAAATGCAAGCAGTGTAAGTACCTGAATGGGACTTGGTATCAGTGCAGTCCCACAGCAGATCTAGGAGAAAGGGAGGAAGAAGCAGCACAAGGAGCAAATCAGATGTGCTGCAGGAAGAGAAAGGAGAGCGACATAGAAATGAGCTCATCGATGTGCTTCTTCTTTTACTGTCTCAGTGTAGGGGTGGGGACCTGTAAGTGAAAGCGTAGCAGAGAAAGATTAGGCCCCATCCCCTGCCAGACCAGACGGTGCTGTGAAACAGAACTGTGTAAATCTCAGGACTGAATGCACACAAATACAAATGATTTGGCAGGTAAAAAAACTACCACATATGTGTTTAATTGAGGAAAGAGAAGAAGCACATGCGCATATACATATATTAAACATTTTTTTTTGCATATAAATATATATATGTAGAAGTGTATGTATGTACAGGTATTCATATATCATTTTCATTTTATTAACCTTAATCTTGCGTACATGTGAGCCCTTTGATAAACATTGATGATTCACCGGAGGTTGAGACTGTCACAACGGAGTGCCCAAACAGCTACCTCTTATGTGTCTCTGAAAATCTGGAAAGATCCAAACACAAGAAGTCTGACACGTTAATATTCGGTCTAGTGGTAAGAATAATTTTTTTTTTTTTGTTTCTGTCTAATGAAGCAGAACATAATTTTAAATATAGAAATGCAAATCTGTATACATATTAAATACTGTCATTGTTGCACTTTTTTCCATGCTGTGAAGGAAGTCAAGATGCAGTCCAGTAACCAACACCTTGAAATATATTGGGGGGATTTATCAAAACTGGAGCAGACAGGATCTGGTGCAGCTTCTTTCCCCTGTTTGTTCAGCAAAGCTTTGAAAATGAAAGCTAGAAGCTGGTAGGTTGCCATGCACAGCTGCTCTAAATTCTGTCTGCTCCAGTTTCGATTAATTCCCCCCATTGCATCTGTGCCCACCTTCTCTACTACATCATGATGACATATAGCACAGTATGGGGATCTCCTTTTCCCTCAGAGGAACACAGCTTCTTTTGTTTTTGATGCACATAGGAATTAGTAGGCTTACAGACCTGTCAGAGAAGTGTGTAAATTGCAAATGCAGATCTTGTCCATTATAATGCTCATTTCCTGGCTACCATGCTGACCTTATGGCTTCAGTGTTTTCTCAGTCATTCACCTGCACCAAATATGCAAATCAGCATTTTGGACTTCCCTTGCTGCATGCTTGTTTTGTTTCAGTGACCTCCTAGCATTTTTAGGAGTAGGTTAAGGGCCTGTTCACACGACGTCCGTTTTCTGTGCTGACCTGATCCGTATGCTCCTGCACTAAAAATGTATCCCAATGTATCCCTATGTGTTTTATGGGCTACAGTTCTCACGTGCGCAGTCTGTTCAGGTTACAACAGAAAAAATACTGCATGTCACATTTTGTATGGTCAGGAAATGGATCGGAAACGCAAAACGCGTCAAAAACGCACTGCACTGCAGCTAACATACTGACAGCCCCACTCCAACAAAACAAAAAAACACATTTTTTTTTTTTTTAACTGGAATGCATCAAAAATGCGGCCAAAACGCAGCAAAAAATCACTGCATCAGTAGCACCGCGTCTGCAGATCCGCACCTGATCAGGACCTGATATCATGTGAACAGGCCCTAATAGTGACAGCATAAATGTGTCTGTCATGAGAGGTCTTCTTTAAAGGAAAGCTATAATGATTTCTGTGAATTTTTTTAAGGAAAAGGGGACGAGTCAATGGTCTCATGTACTTGTGTGTCAATCTCAGCTTGAGCTACTGCACTCTGTAGACAAGCCTTTTTTTTCAGCAGGAGGTTAGGAGAAACTGGAAAACAAGAAAAGAAACACCACTTGCTGGTTGAAGTCATTAAAACAGTGTGTATTGGTGCTTGAATCTTGTTGAGCTTTGTGTATTTCTTCCAGATCTGTGCAGTAATCCAGTGAGAAACCTTTCCTGGTGTTTCCAGTAGTAAAGACCGGTCACTGCTGCTTTCTTTCCTTGTGCAGGGTTGACTGGTCTTGCATCAGTCCGCTCCTGTAGTTCTCTGCAGGCAGCCGGTAGTGGGTGGGGCCTGCCTGGCCCCTCCCACAGCTCTACTCTCTGCACATGTTATGTACAACACAGTGATGAGGTCACTGCTTTACATGATAATATCTTGGTTTACAAAGGCATTTGGTGCCCAAAAAGTGGATTTATATTCTTTGTGCCTATTGGAGAATATACCGTATTTGCCGGCGTATAAGACGGGTTTTGAGACCTTAAAACATCCCCCGAAAATCAGGGGGTTGTCTTATACGCCGGGTACCTACGGAAGGATACGGTATACTGTATGTAGCTTCGGCTACATACAGTATACCGCGTTGAGCCAATCACGGCAGGCTTTGTATTAATGAATACAAAGCCTGTATTCATTAATACAAAGCCTGCCGTGATTGACTCAGCGGAAGACGGAGGACACATCGGGGATGGTGGATGAGGTAAGAGACTGTAATCCCGATTGTGGCTCGGGGTTACCGCTTATGGTACTGAAAATTAACCCCGAGCCACACTCGGGAATACCGCCATGGATGTAAGTGGGTGCATTTAAACATTATTTTGGGCTATACTCGTCTTATACGACGAGTATAGCCCAAAACCTATATTTTAACACAAAAAGTAGGGGGTCGTCTTATACGCCGGCAAATACGGTATTTAAATGAAGGTTTTTGTGATTGGGGTTCATCTTTAAGGCGCTTTAAGTTTACCACACACCTTACAATCTCCTTTTTAGATCTACCAACAACTATGTAGTGCCAGGGACAGTCTGGTTGGATAGAGATTATTTGGATGGATCAGGTCAGTCCTCGGTCAGGTTGTAAGGTGTATGGTGACCCTTAGAAACATCTTTATTTGCATCCAAAATCTGTTTACTTTTTGATTTGCTTATGAAGACATTTTAACTTCTTGCACAGGCTGTTCAACCTTCTACAGGAGAAGTGATATATGACAACTTTCCCGACTCGAAGTCATGCTGCGAACTGGAGACAAGAATACTTCGCTTACAGCCAGTGGAAATTCTGGTTCCTTCTGACATTTCTGATGGAACTGAAAAGCTGATCAGCAGCATTACGACGGCATGGTAGGTGTTGGATTTCATAAAATGTGTGCACTAGGTATGTAGAAAATAGAGTGCCTACTCTTCTGCTTAGGCTTGAATCTTTGTTTTCCCAAGAAATCTTTTTTCATCAGTTAATGTTCAAAGATACCTTCTGACATGAATATTTTTTTTCATTTTTATGACATTAGCTTTTTGTATTCCTGGGTGGTGTTTGTTAGGTTTCTATTATTGTCTGTGCCCCCCACACACCAGGCAAAAACAAGCACATAACCCTTTCAGTGCATTACAATTTTTACCCGTGGTTCTGCTTTAGGGTCAAACTCCAGCATGAGTTTAATGACGCTCAGCATCTTGTGTGGCAACCAAAATTGTCTAGAACATTTAGCTGATTGTTGTAGCATTCAAAAGATAAAATCACATGATAAAATTACTCTTTATTAGGGATGCACGGATACCGGTAATTTGGTACAGAGTACGAGTACTGATAATTTGTTTCCGTTACTTGCCGATAACAATTCCCAAGTAACGGAAGTCCCATTCAGGAAGCCAGGTGGCGTGTAATGACTCGCCACCTGGCTTCCTGATTAGCCGGGCAGCGTGTAAAGACTCGCCACCCGGCTTCCCGATTAACAAGAAAGTCTGTTCACTCTTACCTTGGTATGTCCAGCCTGTCACCCCCGGGGCCTCTACAGCCAGAACGCAGCCTTCCTCCGGTACCCAGCTGGAGCTGTCTGGCCGGCCAATCAGGAAGCTGGGTGCCGTGTAATGACGCAACGCACTGCTTTCTGATTGGCCGGGAGGCCGGCTCCATGCTCCCTCGTCATGAGATGAACCTGGGCAGCGCGTCATTACACCCTGCTCGGCTTCCTGATAGAGGAAGTATCGGGCTAGGCATTGGAGCATTTGGGCGAGTACTCACCCAAATACTCGGTATCAGCACCGATATCGATACTAGTATCGGTGCATTCCTACTCTTTATGATTCATGTAGAGCGATATCAGTGGCGATTGAGGTTATATAGCTTCCTATATGCATAACTTCATCTTTTGTTTTAACCTAAAGATGCGAAAAGTTATGTTATGTAGAATGAAAATATATACAGTGCGGATGTTTTAAACATATACTCTAGGGGTCACTATGGTACAGCAAACCTTTGTACATACAGATAGCATTTGTTATAGCACAAAACACATCCATTACAAAATGCTGTTGCCAGTGCCTAACAAACTAAATTATAAGCTTGGGATAGTTCTCCAGATTACACTATACAGACAACTGAAATAGTTTAAGAAGTCTTTAAGTGGAACTTTACCCTTGTCTTACAAATGACAACAAAGGCGCTGCTGTGATGGACTGCAATCTCACGTTTAGTTTACTAATTTGTATTGAGATTGTAGTCCATCACGGGAGCGAGCTTGCAGCGGTGGCTACTTTACAACACACACAGGGACCATGGGGAAGAAAAGTAGCCACCCTCCAGAAGGAAGGAAAAAAAGTAGCCACCCTCCAGAAGGAAGGACAGTGTCAGCCCCAATTCAGAGATGATTGGAGAATCTACAGCCGAGTGATACACCAATAAGATACATTTTTGTTAAGGTACTTGAATGCATTTTTAAGATTTAACTCCTGCGTTTAGTGTCACTTTACGTTCACAGAGAAATGCATTTTGTAATAATTAGTAGGGCAATCTCTTTTTATAAACAATCTTTTTACCTGGCAATGTAGTATTAATATACCTCTTCTATTGAGATGAAATAGGTGGGAGATCTTGTATTTAAAGTTTAGCTATACCTGTAATCTTTATGGCTGCAAACAGTGTTTCTTGAGGAGCATTGATAACATGGAAAAGGGTTTGGACCAGACTGAACAGGTGCTGTCAGGGGCCAGCTTAGAGGAGGGTGGTGACATGGAGGAGCAGGACCCGAAGGAAGGAAGCTGGGTAACAATCAGAAGACGGGGTAAAGGATAGAGTGTTTAGAGAGGCTAGCCCTGAATTGTAACACCCGAATAAATTTGCCTGTTTGCATGATATTGGGGATATCGGTTCAGGGGTAGCACTGCTGGAGCAGAATAACTCCCCTAGCTGCCAGGAGAGTGACTGCTCTGGTATGAAGGGTTGCAGGGGCTTAAGCAAAGACAGACAGATCCTGGTGGTAGGGGATTCTATTATTAGCAGGCGGGGTCATCTGTCACAAAAAACGTGATAGCTGAACGTTTTCTACCAGGCACTCAGGTTTGGCCTATTGCGGATCGGATTGTTGGGTGGGGCTGGGGAAGACCCAGCTGTCATAGTACATATTAGTATCCATGACAATCTCAGGGGAAGATAGAGTGTCCTAAAGAAGGTTTTAAAGGACTTAGGTGAGACACTTAGGAAAAGGACCTCCAAGGTATTATTTCCCGAAATACTTCCTGTACAACGAGCCCACCAGAGCGGCAGTGAGAACCTAGTGAGCTGAACAATTGGCTGCGAAGCTGGTGTAGAAAGGGTTTAGGTTTTTGGAGAACTGGGCTGACTTCTCGGTCAGCTACTGGCTCCACTGCAGGGACGGACTGCACCGAAATGGGGAGACTGCAGCCCTACTGGGGGAACAATGGTAAAAAAGGTTGAAGGAGCTTTTAAAGTAGATAATGAGGACGGATCGGAAAGGACTGAGCCAGGTAATAACCTAAAAAGATTGAGGAGTAAGGTGACCACAAAAGAAACAAGGGATTCTAAAATATGAAAAACAAATACACAAAATACGGACGCATGCAGTAGTAGACAAATTATAGGTAACAGAAAAATAGTTAACACAAGTGAAACCTTGAAATGCATGTTCACCAATGCTAGAAGCCTGGTGGAGGAGCTGGAACTCTTACTACTCGGAGAGGAATATGATCTAGTAGGAATAACAGAAACCTGGCTGGATGGATCACACAACTGGGCAGCAAATATAAATGGATATTCTCTATTTAGAAGGGATAGGGAAAGAAGAAGAGGGGGAGGAGTATGTCAAGAATGACCTGACGGTGAATGCAAGAGGTGATATAGCACAGACAAACGGGGATAATGCTGAGTTACTATGGATACAAATGGAAATGAAGGATAAGAAAGGGAAACTACTAGTGGGAATATGCTACAGGCCACCAAACACGGAGGATAAGGAGACTCCTATACTGTCACAGATATAAATAGTGGGAAAGAAAGGCAATGCCATCATAATGGGGGATTTGAATTATCCTGATAGAGTGGACAAATAAAACAGCAAACTCTAGCAAGGGCCGTCACTTCTTTAACACTCTCCGGGATAATTTCATAGGACAATTGGTGAACACTCTCCGGGATAATTTCATAGGACAATTGGTGGAAACCCCAACGAGGGAAAATGCGTTGTTAGATTTATTCATTACAAATAACACATAGCTGATTTCAAATGTGGAAGTCAGGGACAAGCTAGGGAGCAGTGATCACGGAATGATAATGTTCACGGTAAACTCAGGAAAACACAGGCATGTAGGTAATACAAGAAGACTCAATTTTAGAAAAGTTAACTTTAATGCACTAAGAGGCCTACTATGTGATATTAAATTGGGATGAAATATTCCTGAATGGGAACACAGAGGAGAAATTGAGAGGTTTTAAGGAAATCTTGAATAACAAAATTGGCCAGTGCATTTCATTTACAACTAAATTCAGAAAAGCAAAAATTAAACCAGGGTGGTTAAAAAGCAAGGTAAAACAACACATAAGAGAGAAGGATAAGGCCATCAAAAAATATAAATCAGAGGGGACACCATAGGCATTCAAAAACTACAAGAAATCCAACATAAAATGTACAAAAGCAATCAGGGCAGCAAAAGTAGAATATGAAGCGCACATAGCATTAGTAAGCAAAAAGAACCCCAAGGAATTCTTTAAATATATAAATTGTAGGAAGGTATGGACGGAACATATAGGCACCATAAATGATGACGAGGGGAGGTCGGCTACCAGGGACAGTGGAAAGCGAACATGTTAAATGCATTCTTTTCTTCTGTCTTTACAGACAAGACGGACGTGGGCATCGATCAGGCTAACTGGCTCTGTGGCTAACGGAGAGCAGAGTAAAACATATATTAGAAAAAATTAAAAGTAATACTTCCACTTTATAAATCATTGGTTTGGCCCCATCTTGAGTATGCGGTACAATTCTGGACGCTGACTCTCAGGAGGGATGTCCTGGAACTGGAGAGAGTTCATAGAAGGGCTACAAAATTAATTAAAGGGATCGAAGGCCTGAGTTATGAAGATCGCGTTCAAGATCTTAACTTATTCACCTTAGAAAAGAGGCGATTAAGAGGGGACCTTATTGCAGTCTTCAAAATCATCAATGGGGACCACGATATTAGGAACAAACTGTTCAATCCCAAAACTGTATTGAGAACATACATAGGTTGAACTGAATGGACCTTGGTCTTTATTCAACCTTACATACTATGTTACTGTGTTGTAGGAAAAGTAAGTGCCGGGGTTTTCTGGCATTTGGGCCACAAAAGACTATAAGCAGGTTTTGTTCTGGCAGGATAGGTGTGAGGCGAGTTTGGCGAATGATTTAAAGATGACTGAAATTATCTGAGCGTTTGGGGGAGAATTATATGAGCTGTTAGAGCTTTGTCTGAGTCTCCACCATCCAGTGGTCTTCCAGGCTGTGTTTTTAACATATGCAGCTACATAAGCTGGTGAAGTCTGTCATTTTTGACATAAAGTAGAATCATCTTAGAGGAAACAGAGCTTTTAAAATAGAAAAGAGGATTACTGTATCAGGACGTTCTACAGGTAGGGTTTAAAGTTGTGCCTGTTGAAAGTACACGAGTAGCATACGCTTAGGTAAGGAATAAATTCAGCTTGTAGGTATTGAAAATGCTTTACAGTAGGGATGATTACAGTAGGCTGATACAGGGCATTTTAACAAGTACTTCTACTTGTAAAAAAGCCCCGATTCTAAAGGCCGATACCGACCCTCTAAATTTTTGAACAAGTTTGGCTGCCTGAGTTCCCA